TGGGATTGCTGGATTGTATGGTATTTCTATTTCTAGCTTTCTAAGGAAGCGCTCTATCATTTTCCAAAATGGTTGTATCATTATCTCATTTTTTTATTGTGATAAAATACATATAACATAAAATTTGCCATTTTAACTGTTTTTAAGTGTGCAACCTGCATACACTTTTCCATATTTGATTTATCTTTCTTCATGGTGGCATTGTATTCCATTGGAAAAATACACCATAAAAATTTACTTAATCATCTCTCCATTGAGAGGAAGTTCAGCTGTTTTTAGTTTTTAATTACGCATACGTTGCTTTCTTGGTCTATTGAACTATTTCTGCAGATAAAATTCTCTGGAGTGGCATTACTGGGTTACAGGGTAGGTCCATCTTTATGGCTCCTGGTAAGTGCTGCCACATTCCCCCTACAGAAGGCTGAGCCCATTCACTATGTCCCCAGCAATGCATAAGGAGGCCTGATCCCTTCTGGCATTACCAGCTTTTGATTTATTACTCCCCATCCACCCCCACAACACACACACACTTTTTGCAATAGCATAAAGTCATGTAAGGTTAAAAATAAATAATAAATGAACAAATAAATAATATTTTGCTAGATTAGCTGATGTCTAGTTCAAGTCTACCCAGAGGCACCTGAGCAGAAAGGCCTGGAGATCTACTTCTGAAAAAGCAGCCATTGAAAACACTATGGAGCACAGTTGTGCTGTGACACACATGAGGTCAGCAGCAGTTGGGATCGACTTGATGGCAATTGAAAAAAAAAGTGGTATCTCACTGAGGTTTTCATTTATTTTTCTTTAATTACTAGTAAGGATAATATTTTCTAATGTGTTTGCTAGTTTACTAGTGGTATTTCTTTAGGTGTTAATCATCTCTGTGAGTATCACCTTGTAAACTTGTACTGATTCTTTAAAAATTTTGTACAGCGTCAGTTGGCCATCTTCATCATGTGTATTTTCTCCATTCCACTGAATTCCTTTTCATGTTAGTTTTATTCCATCTTACTCTTCACAAGTCTTTATCTGATATAGCTCAACCCATCTGCTGTGCCCCAGTCGTTGAGAACGTGAAGGGGGAAGAAGCAGGTGGTTGTTTCTACAGGGTGGCTGAACTCCTCTCACCCCTCCTCCCACGTTCTCTTTTGCTTAGCCGAGGACTGCCCGGCCCTGTCTCACTGTCTGACGTCAGTCTGTTCTCACCCAGGTCTGCCACGTGAACCTGGAGGGGCAGCCATTCTACTCCAAGAAGGACAAGCCCCTGTGCAAGAAGCACGCGCACGCCATCAACGTGTAGGGCCGGGGCGTCTGGTGCCAAACAAGGCCTGGGAGCTGCTCCTGCTGCTGGCAAGAAAGGATTCCTGGAGGCTGATGTTTCTTTGGGGGGAAAGGGGGAAGGCAGGAAGTGATTGAGCCCTTTTGAAGTATAATTTTAGTCCTTTCTTCTGTACACAGATCGTGTATTTGCATAGTTCAGACTAGAAGCCAAATGAAGATTCTAAACCAAGCTAGTAATTAATCCAAGACTAGAATTGTACTTCAAATGCTTAGGACAGAATTCTAAGAACTCAAAAGTGAAAAACAAAACACTAACTTTCCCAAAGCAATACAATACTCCAAGGTCACCAGGGTAGCAACAGAGCTCAGACCATCAGCGAACCGAAGGTACGGAGAATCTGAAGCATCTGTGAGTCCTTTAGAGCTCCTCTGACAAACAGGAGAAGTGCCAAACCTTGCTCACTGCAGGGTATTTTTAGAGCCAGAGCTCAGACCGATTGGGCTTTTCTCACCAAAAAAGGAAGTGTTACTCCATTACTAGCATCATGGAGGTACCTCTCCGAGTTGGCCTTTAGGCCTTCAAGTGAACAGACTTGCAATGTTCTATATGGAGCCTGGACATCCGAAGGGAATTTAGAACCTGAAGACTGCGAACTGCTGTCTTCTGGGAGACAGGGTGATTGGAAGGGCTGTGAAAGGGCTCTGGCTTACATTGCAGACAGCCGCGAAAGGACAGGCCCTTCAGCTGCCCTTCTGACAGTTTGAAACATACAATGTCCTCACAAGGCTTAGCTCTTTTTTTTTTTTTTTTTTACATGTACAATTCAGTGACGTTGATTACATTCTTCAAGTTGTGCAACCATTCTCACCCTCCTTTTCTCAGTTGTTCCTCCCCCATTAACATAAACTCACTGCCCCCTAAGGTTCCTACTAACCTTTCAAGTTACTGTCGTCCATTCGATTCCATATAGGTAGATCTTAAAAGCGCATAATGCTCAAGGCAGACATTCTTTACTAATTAAGATAAACGGTTGTTTGGTTTTAAGATGACTTTAGGGGATATTTTTAGTTTCAAGGTTTAAAGATTACTTTAGGGCAACAGTTTTGGGAGTTCATCCAGCCTCCATTGCTCCAGAAAGTCTGGATTCCATGAGAATTTGAAATCCTGTTCTGCATTTTCCCCCTTTTGATCAGGATTCTGCTATAGAATTTTTAATCAAAATGTTCAGTAACGGTAGGCTTAGCTCCTTTTTGAATTGTAATGGGAAAGTGGGATTGGGTTTTTCCTGTTTTGCTTTGTAGTGTGTGAGAGAAGGAGATTTTAAAAAGACTCTGGGTTGTGCTTGGCCTTGGCTTTTGCTTTAAGAGGTTCATTAGCATGAGTGTCTAGTTCTGTGCATGGATTTCATCCCCCATCTTGAGACTGCTGACTTAGGAAGTCTTCCTCAGCTCGTCCCCCTCCTCCGTCCCCCAACAGACTGTCCTGTGGAAAAGGAGAGACACTGTGTGAAACAGAAGGCAGAGGGGGCTGAGAACAGGCCCGCACACTGGGTGGGGAAGAGGGCCTTACTTCCTACCAGCTTCGGTAAGGATGGGTGGGCTGGCAGGAACCCCTCCCACCTCAGCTTTGCAGCCTTCTCCTGGGTTCCTTTAAATGCAGCATACCCATTATGTACAATTGTGTTGACTGCTGGAAGGAAAAGATGAACTGATATATACTCATTTGCTATTTTTGGCCAATATATTGAAAATGGATGAGCTGAGTTGATCTAACAGGTGTTTAAGTATTATAGAAGTAGACTTGGATCTTTAAACTTCTTTACAATATTAGTGATAATTTCTGAATTAGGTAAGCATTTTAAAGCTGTTTGATGACAGAGAGAAGCTTAATTTCTGAGGTTGGAAATGGCATCATTCCTTTCCTTTTTAGGAGGCACTATTATTAAGCTCATTGAAAATGGCATTGAAGCAGGCAGTATGAATGGATGTTTCTCACTTGAGCACAATACTTTGGCATTAGTCCAACTCACTGCTACTCTCTCCTCGCTCCTGTTTTGGATTTTCTCTTTGCACGTTTGAAATGTTGTCTGGGAATACGTTAGAATTCTTTTTCTTCCGAGGATTGAGGCCTCCAAGAGACTGCCAGAAGTAGACCGTGTCGACTTCTCCCTCAGCTAGCTGAGTTCCTAGCAGAAGACCCGTGTTGTATCCAAGGGTGAAATCACCATCCTCCCTCAGGAAGCATAGAGAGGGACTCGACGTGTTCTTATCATAGGGCCCTTCTCTACCTTTGGTGCAGTGAGAAGGTGAATACAAAGGACCAGGCAGAGTAAAACTTGCTGCGAATGCCTGGAGATTTTTCAGGAGTTGCAAACAAGTACTTTGGATCATTCTGTTATTTTTGGAAAGTTCAAATATACAGAAACAAGGAGGCTGCTGACTAGACAGAAAGGCTCTGAACAGGTATTCTCAAAAAAAAAAAAATAAATAAAAACCAACTATAAATTATCAGGGACTGATCTCAAATAAAGAAAATACAGTTCTTTAGAGCTAAGTTTGCAAAATCTCTTTTTAAATGTTTACACACACACACACACACACACACACACACACGCACGCACACACACACACAAAAGATCATAAATGAAAAGTGAAATATCTCAAAGGAGAACTTCACTATAGTCATTGACTAAAATCAGTTTTTCTACATCTCAGAGATAGTATAGATTCTGGGGGACTCTTTTATTTAACAAAACACAAAACAAAAAACATTTTAAAGATAGCAAGAAAAGGAGGTAGTTTTGGGTGTGATTCACTAGTCAGAAGTCTTGTCTAGTATTGGGATGAAGGTTGTATCTGTTTCAAGTTAATGTTATCAATGTCCTACTACACCACTTTACTAGTTCATGGTGAGGAGTAGCTTTGGATCTACAATTCTCGTTTCCCCACTGTTGACATTTATTTAACATTTATAAACATTAACTTTTTGCAACTGAGTGACTTGTGTCTGCAGTGTTTGTGTTAGGAATCTAGCTTTTATAATGTTAACTTTTCAACCCAGGTACTCTTGCTTTGGGATACTTTCTCTTTTTTTAAGATTTTAGAAAATGGAATGTAGTGTGTTAGAGGTGTGTACAAAAATATCTTGCATGTTTTGGGGTTTGTTTTATTTTTTGGCCCATGTGACTCGTACTTTTTAGCAAAATAAAACCAAAAACAGAATGTTCAAATAGATTTTTCTGTGCAAAGTTTTTTCAAGTGACATCACAAGTAGGTTACTTTTACATGGCCATAAATAAAAGTTTGAGACAAACCAAAATGTCCTATCTAGAAGAAACACAACTCACTTGCTCCCATGGCTGTGTGCTCAACCGCAGTTAAATCACCTTGTTAAACAGACAAGGATAAGTGAATAATCCAAATGTTTTGCGTACAAGATAAATTACCAGGTAAATAGTAAACTGAAGATCAAATCTTGCCTTGTATTTTTGGAAAGGTTTACTTATTTAGATACACGGTGATCAAAGGAGCCATGGTGGCACAGTGCTTAAGTGCTTGACTGCTGACAAAAAGGTTTGCAGAACCCACCTGCCACTCAGTGGGAGAAAGATGTGGCCATCTGCTTCCATAAAGATTACAGCCTTGGAAACCCTATGGGGCAGTTCTCCTCTGTCCTACATGTAGGGTCACTATGAGTCAAATTGACTCGACTGCAATGCGTTTATGGTGATCAAATATTTCAGATTATTTTCATTCCACTCTAAATGGCTTCATTTCTAGAAAAGTTGCTGTATTTTCTCCCATATCTTTATTCCCCCAAGCCCTCACCCCCTCCACCCCCAGTTTTTCAACAGACTTTATTTTCTAGACCCGTTTTAGGCGTATGGAATAATTGTGTAGAAAGTACAGAGTTCCCATATGCCCTCCTCCTCCCTGCACAACTGTTTACCTATTATTAACTCTTGCATTCCTGTGGTACATTCATTACAATTGATGAACTGATATTGATACATTATTATTAAATAAAGTCCACAGTTTACAGTAGGATTGCCTCTTTGTGTCGTACAGACCTATGGGTTTTGACAAATGCATAATGTCGTGCTCCCACCATTACAGTATCATACAGAACAGTTTCATCGCGCTATTCATCCTGTATTTTTTAGTTTTAAAAAAGTTCAGAGAAAAATGTCATTGCATTAAAACAATTTGTTTTTAAATAAGAAAGATCCTTCTGGGGGATACTATGCTGTAAAAATGGTGTGGAGACAGCGTCTGACCTCCTCTGACTTGACAAGGGGAAAGAGAATCAAGATCAACAGCCCAAGGCTGATTCCTGTGAGGCAGAGGGCGGATATGCCTCCTCTCTCCGCCATCTTTACCAATTCTGATACCAACCGTCCCTCCCCCGGCACTCTCTACTTCTCTGCTGGGTTCAATAATTCATTGCAATGGCCACATAGAACCCAGACAATACTCACAATTTTGAAGTTTATTAGGGAAATAACAGGTTACAATACAGGTTCAGGAACGCTCAGGATACAGTTCTTCCATCAGGACAGCCTCTTCCCAGGCATGCTCTCAGGCATGCCTCTCTCTGGCGCTCAGCCTCTGCCCTGCTCGGGCAAGTGTTACAAAGCTCTTTTAGCCCTGCCAATAAGTGCCCAGAGGCACCCCACTCTGCCAGTAAGCCTTGGCCCAAAGGCACTCAGCCTTCTCTCTCTGTGGGCCAGGAAGCCCACTGTGCTGTCTCCTGCGAGTCTTTCCTGCCACTGTTTCTCTGCCACCGCTTCTCGCTGTCTTCCATGTTACAGTTCTCACTCTCTCTCTGTCTCCGGCTTTCAGGAGCTCCTCAGTGCAGGGATCTGGGGTCCAAAGGACACACTCCACTCTTGGCTCTCCTTCCTTAGTGGTAGTGGGATCCTCCCTTTCTTGCCTCTGGGATGGCTCATTTCAAGCCCAGTGGGATGGAAAAGCTGACCAATCCCCTTGGTGGGCCACAATTACTCTGTTTGTACAGTC